GTGTTTTTTTTTTTTTTTTTTTTTTTTTCTTCTTATGTTAGGGATCAAATTCAGGACCAGGGCCTTGTGTGTAGTAGCCACAAATAGGGTTTCCTGAAACAAGGTCTTGCTATGTAGATGAGGTAACCTTGAACTGCCTATGAAGTCCAGGCTTGCCTCAAACTTCTGAGGTCCCACATCCACCTCCCATGTCCAAGATCTAAAGACTTTTTTTTTTTTAGATCTTATGTTGGGAGTTCACGAGATGGCTTAGCAGGTAAAGGATGCTGCCAAACCTGATGACCTGAGTTTGATGACATGCACGGAAGTCATATGGTGGAGATAGAGAACCAGCTCCTAAAAGTTGTCCTCTGACATCCACATGTGTTCCATGGTACACACACACACACACACACGTTTTAAAAAATAAAGCTCTGACTTTTTAGATCCTATGTTGAATATACTGGGGGTTCAGGTCCAAAGACTATAAAACAAAACTCTACTTTTCCCTATCTTTTTTTGGTAAAACACCTCTGCTACCAGACAGCTCTCTATTGTCTTCAGTAGCTCAGTCCCTTTTTTGTGTGTGTGTGAGACGGGATTAGCCTTGGCTACCCTAACTGTGTAGTCCAGCTGGCCTGGAACTCACAGAGGTCTGCCTGCCTCTGCTTCCCGAGTACTGGAATTAAAGGCATATGCTACCAGGCTTAGCCTTCACCCAAATTTTTATGCTGCCTGTCTTTTCACTCATAATTGAGCTCAGATCTCAGACCACTGTCAGAATTCCATCCTATATAGCTATGCTGGTCTCAGAAAAATGGATTATATAACCTTTTTCTGAAAGTGCTTAGCTAATTTGTTTGAGATAGGATTCCATATAGCCCAGGCTGGCCTGGAACTCCCAGTTTAACAGGCTAGTCTTGATCCTTCTGCCTCCACCTTCCAAGTTCTAGGATTACAGATGTGTACTTTTTTCTTTTTTGAGATAGTGTCTTCCCTTGTAGCCCAGGCTGGTCTTGAACTGGCTATATTACCAAGTAGTCTTCAAACACATGATCTTTCTGCCTCAGCCTTGCAAGTGTTAGGATTACAGGCATACACCACCATACCTGGCTGCTAATAGTATTTTCCTTCCCAAGCAGAGTTCCTTTGAGAACTTGTTAGATACCATGATCTACAAGTAACATGCTAAGAAACTGCACAAGGAAGCTCTCTTTCACCATTCTATCCCATCCTGCAGGTCAGAGGGAGAACAAAAACACACCAGAAAGCCTGTCAGGTTTTCAGCTTCCAGTCCTACAGGTGAGGTCTGGCTCGTCTAATTTGTCTGTGCATAGTATTCATGTAATTAGTGTAAAGGCCTCATTCTGGGTTCATGGTGGAAGGTAACCAATGGAGAATTACATGTTTCAACTGTGGTAAATAAGTGTTCACAATTTTTCAGGATGGTCTTTATTTCAACAGTTCTCTTTTTCGGTCTTTTTGAGACAGGGTCTCCCTGTAGCTGCAGCTAACTTGGATTCCCTATGGAGACCAGGCTGGCCTCAAAGTCACAGAATCTGTCTACCTCTGCTTCCCAAGTGCTGGGATTAAAGGCGCTCAGTTTATTTCAACAGTTCTATCCTACTGTCATATTAGTTTTCTGGTTTGGTATTTTAAAATTAAGTCCTCGCCGGGCATGGCGGCGCACGCCTGTAGTCCCGGCACTTGGGAGGCAGAGGCAGGCGGATCTCTGTGGGTTCAAGGCCAGCCTGGTCTACATAGTGAGTTCCAGGACAGCTGGGGCTACAGGGAGAGCCTGTCTCAAAAAGACAAAAAAAAAAAAAATGTTCTAAAATAGTGACTGGTCCGGGCCAATGGATGACAGACATTCCCAGAAGTTCTGTAACAGAGAGTACTGGGGACTTAATTTATGGTCTTGTACATTGTAGGCAAGTGCTCCATCACCGATCTATATTCCCAGACCTTTTTCATTTTAATTCTTGTCTTAGTAAACTGCCCAACTGGCCTTGAATTTAGTCTTCCTCAGTTAGTCTCCCAAATAGCTGGGATTGTAGGCTTGCACTATCAGTCCTCGCAAGTATTTTTAGTGGATTTGTATCTTCTGGATAAAATAAACACATTTATAGTGGCGTGGCTGCACATGCCTTTAATCCCAGCACTCTGGAGACAAAAAAAAAAAAAAAAGCATATTTCTCCAGAGCCAGCCAAAATGCTTTGTGAATTTAAGAGATTAATCCTGATTTAAACAAAAGGAAAAGGAGGATAGGGTAGCATTTGTAAGGACAGCTAGTAAATAAGTCCAGTGTTGCCTTTTAATTTTTATGGCTTATGTTTTGAAGACCCAAATATGGGTCTTTCCACTGTAAGCTTTAGTAAACCAAGGAATAGTTGCTGCGTACTAAGATTGGGGCATATTTTGTTCCCATAACCCAAATGCTCTTTATTTTCATCAGCAAGAAATCTAAGCCAGGCCTGCTGGGAAAAGCCTATAATTCCAGCTATTGAGAGACTGAGAAGCAAGAGGATTACAAGTTCAAAGCCAGCCTGGGCTATAGAGTGAGTTTCAGGCCAACCAGTACAACTTCATAAAACCCTATCTGAAAAATTTAAAAATATGCCAGGTATGGTGGCACAGGCCTGTAATCCAGAATTTGAGAAATTGAGACAGGAAGATTGCAAGTTTGAAGTCATCTTGAATTACACAGCAAGTTCCAAGCCAGCTTGGCTAAGAGACCCTGTCCCCTCCAAAAAAAGAACAGACTAGGGATACGGGTCAGTGGTAAGAGTGTGTGCCTGGCATGTGCAGAGCCCAAGGTTCAACCCCCCAAAGAATAATAAAAAGAAATTAGTGTCTACTAATGAAACTAATTTCTTTTGTACACTGAAAAATTTTTTAAGTTAATAGAAGAGGTCTGAGGATGTGGCTCCGTTGGTAAAGTGCCAACTGAAAAGGGAAAGAGAGGAGAAGGGAGGAGAGTTAAACACAAGGAATTATGAAGCCAGTGTGGTGGCACACATCTTTAATCCCAGCACTTGGGAGACAGAGGCAAGTGGATCTCTGAGATAGAGGACAACCTGATCCCCACAGAGTTCCAGGCCAGCTGGGGCTACAGACAGACTCTATCTCAAAAAGCAAAGAAAAAATTATGAGCTTGGCATGGTGGCACATGGCTGTAATTCCAAGGTTTGGGAGGCAGAAGCAGGAAGACTAGGAGCCCAAGGCCAAACTAAGCTACCTAAGACTGTTTTGACATACAGAAGAAGAAACTGGAGTCTAAGCCATAAGAAGCAACAGTGGAGAAATAACATCCTTCCAAGCCTCCCACTTGTAAAGATGAACCTTTAATGAAAAATAGGAGACCTAGGTCTCTCAAATTGGATCTTGTTAAAAACACATTTATAGCTGGGCATAGTAGCATACAGCTGTCATCCCAGCACCTCAGAGGTATAAGCAGGATGATGATGTGTTTGAGATCAGGGCTGGAGAGATGGCTCAGCGGTTAAGAGCACTGGCTGCTCTTGCAGAGGATCTGGGTTCTATTCCCAGCACCCACATGGTGGCTCACAACCGTCCATAATTCATTCCAGGGAATCCAACGCCCTTTTCTGATCTTCACAGGCATTGTGTGACACAGGTGTACTTACACACATGCAGACAATATGCTCATACACATAAAATTAGATAGATGATAAATAGATTAGATAGACAGACACACAGATAGATAGAGCTGGGGGTGGTGGCACATGCCTTTAGTCCCAGCACTCAGGAGGCAGAGGCAGGAGGAGCTCTGTGAGTTCAAGGCCAGCCAGGGCTACAAAGAGACAAAAATAATAATTAAAAAAAAAAAAAAAAGTTCAAGATCATCCTCAGATACATAGTAAGTTTGAGGCCAGGCTGAGCTTCATGAGATCCTGTCTCAAAAATGAAACAAAAAAACCCACATTTATGAGACAGTTTAGGGAACCTCAGTCTGTTGGACATTATTAAAAAACTTCTTCCGACCCAGACGTGATGACATATGCCTTTAATCCCAGCATTCATGAGGCAGAGACAGGCAGATCTCTGTGAGTTCAAGCCCAACCTGGTCTACATAGTGAATTCCAGGCCAGCTGGGGTTACAGGGAGACCCTGTCTCAAAAAGACCAAAAAACAAACAATTCCATCTCGTTTAAGAATGAGAACACATGCTAAAACTAAGGAAATGCCTGACTGTGATTACCACAAAAGTCAGGGGAGCATTTCTGACGTAAATGGGAGGAATGATTAAGAAAAATAAAAATTAAAAAAAATAACAAAAAAAAATTGAGCAATTTTTTTTTAGGTCTAATGATAGTGTGTGTTAACATACAAACACACACACATACACAATTTATGTATAGTTTAATGATAGCTGGATTTTGCTTTAGAATAATTTAATAGAAAGGGGCAATATAAATAAAAGATTGAGGTTTTTGTTGAAGGTGGTGATAGGTACATGAGTTCATTATGAGGTCTACCTTTTAAAACAGAACCCATTTAAAATTTTTTAAAAAGTTATTGATAAAGTGCTACCTTCCAAGAGGTGTAAGAACTCTGCCTCCCTGATAATTACCTTTTGTGTTGTTGTTTTTATTTTTTTTGTCTGAGACAGGGTCTCCCTGTAGCCCCAGCTGTCCTGGAACTATGTAGACCAGGGTGGCTTTGAACTCAAGAGATCCACCTGCCTCTGCCTCCTGAGTGCTGGGATTAAAGGCGTGTACTACCATGCCCGGCTCTAAAATTTTTTAATATTTTATGCATATGAGTGTTTTGCCTATATGTATATAAGTGCACCCATCATGTAATACCAGCAAAGGCCAGAAGAGGGTGTCGGATCCCCTGGAACTAGAGTTACAGACAGTTGTTAGCTGCCATGTGGGTGCTGGGATTCAAACCCAGGCCTTCTGCAAGAACAGCCAGTGTTCTTAACCCGGGGCCCCCTCCCCCGCCCCAATTTTTTTTTTTTTTTTTTTTTTTGGTCTTTTTAAGACAGTTTCCCTATAGCCTCAGCTGGCCTGGAATTTACTATGTAGACCAGGCTGGTCTTGAACTCACAGATTCACCTGCTTTTGCCTCCCAAGTGCTGGGATTAAAAGCATGCACCACCACACCTGGTGGTAATTACCTGTTGATATGCTAGTCATTAATTCTAGATCTCCTAAAAGTTTCTCAAATATTTGACATTAATATCATAAAGCACTGACATATTCCAGAGAGGTTCCCAAGCAGCAACAAAGCCCTTGCCACACAAGACACGGATCTTAGTTTGGAAGTGTGTCATCATACATAGGGGAAGACCATGCAGGATCAACGGCTGCTGGTTTACGTTCGTTCAACTTTAATGGTTGGAGAGACCCATACTAGTCCCTTTTGTTGTAAACACAAAATCTGTTCTTTGCTGCAGACATTCTCTCAACAGAGGCAGATGGGATTAGCCAGCAGGAGTGAAAGATGGACCACTTCCAGATAGAGATCATCTTCCAGGTCTGATCCATGCCTATTGCTGAAGGATAGATTGTAGTGTCCAGTAATCATTAGGGGGACATGGCTTGGAAAATGTATGCCTTCTTTGTTTCCTGGTTTCATTCTGTAGTTTGATCTTTACCCTATACATCTTCATTTCCAAAACAGTTTTGTAAAGATTTTTATGTGTCTGTGTCTGTATCTATGTAGGGCATGCCACATAATGTACAGGTGCCTGTGGAGGACAGAGGAGGGCATTGGATCCCCTAGAGCTGGAGTTACAAGCAGTTGTGAGCTGCTTGACATGGTTTCTGGGAACCTAACCCAGGCCCTCTGGAAGAACATGTGCTCTTAACCACTAAGCCATCTCTCCAGCCCCTTAAATTTTTTGAAAATTACATTTTGTCTGTGTGTGTGTATGTGTGTCCCCACAGGACATGAAGGTCAGAAGACAACTTGTGGGAATCAATTCTCTTCTTCTACAATGCAGGTCATGAGATCAAACTCAAGTTATCAGGCCTGGGGTCAAGTGCCCTTATCCTCTGAGCCATATCATTGGCCCTAACTGGCCCTACTCTATACATCTTACATTAGCTCACAAGAAAGCTGTCAAATCTTACACAAGACTTCAGGAAGCTCCTTTCATTTCCCAAATTGAAACTAAAGCTGTAAAAACAATCTCTGGGATCATGACCAGGAGTAGGGAGACTGGAGATGCTTATCCTATTTGGTTTCTGGATCTCATGTTTTCGCTTTGGACATTACTACCCCATTCCAATGTTGATAAGAACAACTCTGCTCCTTATCCTAGTCCATTATGCTCATTTATCCATGTTTGTTATATAGCCAGTTGCCATGAGGTATTTTCACATTTCTTTGCCCAAACCATAGTTGGAAATACAGATTTCTAGCTCACTAAAGTATGTAAATAAAGAGGTAAAAAAAAAAAAAGTCATAAAAATGAAGTCTTGTAGATATGACAACTCTATTGCTATTTTAGGCTCTAAAATGGTGGGATGAGCAAGTGGACTGCCCCAAGCCTGCTCTGTCATTGCTGAAATGTCAAGATTGTCCTCGGCTGGAAAACAATATGTGTGCTCACAGATGCCAACTGGTATCATCTAATTTTCTATTTTTATTCTTTTAATTTACCTTGATAAGTCCTGACTCTTTAAATAATAAAAAAGTAAACTAAATCAATTTTTTTTTTTTTTGGTCTTTTTGAGCCAGGGTCTCCCTGTAGCCCCAGCTGGCCTAGAACTAGCTATGCAGGCCAGGTTGGCTTTGAACTCACAGAGATTCTCCTGCCTCTGCCTCCTGCCTCCCGAGTGCTGAATTAAAGACGTGCATCACTGCGTCTGACTTAAATCAGGTATTTTAAAAGTGGTACTGGAGATTGAACATAGGGTGTCTACACATGCTAGGCAAGAGGACTACCACTGAGCCACACACCCAGTCCCTAAATCAGAAATGCTAATGGACTTGGCTGCACTAACCCCTAAACTGGGGCTGGATACAGATGTAGTCTAGTTGGAAGAGTGCTTGCCTAGCCTACACAAAGTTTGAGTTGGATCCCCAGCATTGCATGAACTGTACATGACGGCACCCACCTATAATCTCAGCACTTGAGAAATAAAAGCAGGAGGATTAGGAGTCAAGGCCAGCTTTGGCAAAGAGAGACAATTTTATATTTGGCTTTCCTATTCTTATAATTTGGGGCTTCCGCTCTTATTTTCAGATGACTAACCCATTGATATCTATGATCTTCAGTGTCTAAAATTATCTAGAACATTACTGAATTAAATGACCATGGTCCTTCCATTCCCAAGATGGATCCTATAAAGAAGGAAATAGCTCTTCGTTAAATACAAATTGAAAAAATAGCAAAAAACAAAAAATAAACAAACAAACAAAAAAAACCCAGTCTGTATCAATCTGAAAGAGCAGCTGTGTTAAGTTTGTAAGACCAAACCTGAAACTATCCCCACCATCCTCTGACCATAAGAAATATTCCTTCTCTTCCATCACTTTGTAATGTGTATGTTTCAAGACAGGATCTCAGTGTAGTCCAAGTTGGCCCTGAACATGCTATGTGGCCAAGGCTGGCCTTCAACTCCTTTATCTTCCTGCCTCCACCTCCCAAGTGTTGGGGTTCCAGGCATGCACCACCACACCCAGCTCATCATACTTTTTATTTTAAAGAACATCTCCCCTAATTCCCATCTCCAATAAATATTCAGTCTAAATATTCACCATCCAATTATTAAAACTTTTTCACAAGCTCTGTGGGGGAAGATTTACCCTGAGACAAATAGTGACCAAAGAGGAGATTTCACAGAGATAAAACAGTACAAAGCAGATTGGTCCCAGTGTCAGAAGCAACATTCTGTTACCTGTGATTGAATGACAAAGCAAGTCAAACATCAAATTAGTATGAAGAGGAAGTATCTGGGACAAAACTGGGACACACTGAAACTCTGAGCTACAAAATGCATAGACATGTGCTCAGAAAGAAAGGAAGGGGCACAAAACAGCCTTGTATCTAGGGGCAGCCTGAGGTTGGGGATGCAACAGGGCCAACTGGATCACGGCACTTCTATTTGTTCAAGGACTCCTGTAGATGTCACAGCCTCTAAGCATGCTGGAGGAAAAGAATACCTCTAAGCAAACAAGCCTCTAAGCATGCTGAAGGGGGGAGCAAGGGCCATCTTCAGGCCATGGTTTGCCAAGCTCCTCAGCCCTCTCTACATTGTAGGTGGAGGACTAGATTTGTGCAGACCCAATACTTAGTTTATAGCCCATGGTCATCCTCCCCACTCAACCCTCAAATTACTATATCCCCGTTGACCTAAAAACACAAAACTTTTTAGTTCTTTGCGACAAAGTAATTTTTTAAAAAAGATTTAAACAATCTCTAAGTTGGTTCATCTTTCAGTAACAACCCCCCACTTTCCTCAGTGCCCCCCCACCTCAATCCTGTATGATGACATCATCTTCATCATCATCGTCCTCTTCCTCCTCCTCTTCCTCACCATCTTCGGGAAGTTCCTCCTCCTCTTCTTCCTCCTCTTCATCTAAACAGACTACCACCTCAGCTGGTTCAGATGATCGACAATCAAACCACTCTATCACTTGCTGAGTGCTAAGTCTTGATGCCTGACTCAATTTAAGGATATCAGCTTCCTGTAGCTGCTGGTGGGCTGCCCAGTACCTCTCCAAAGGTCCTATGTCTGGTGGGGGTGGTGGAGTTGGCAGAGGTGGTGTCTTGGCCCATTCTTTCAAGGACCGAGTTGGTGGTGGTGTAGGAACTGCTGGATCTTGAAAACTAGGGGCACCAGGTACTGCATTGTCCCGAAACCATCTTAGTTGGCCATGCTTCAAGGCATATCGTGTATCACCAAACCACTGAATGATCTCAGGACGTGGTAAACCAGTAATCTGTTCTAATTTATGGTAATCTTCTCTTCGTGCCCATTGGCACTGTAGGAAAAAGGATTTGAGGATCGCCAGCTGCTCTTTGGTTTTACGCTTTGTCTTTCGCTGGCGTTGCATATCTGGGGAAAGATAGTCCGTGGAGCCAACCCTACCTGCTGCTGAGTTATTCCGCAGCCTTTGGGGCCAGGGCAGCTCTACCTGTGGGGACAGTGACTGTTCACTAGGTGGGAGTGACTGTGAGTTACAGCTCAGGGGCTGGAGGGGTTTGGACGTGGCAGTAGCTCCATTAGCCAGTACCTGGAAAGAAGAAGAGGTAGAGGAAGGAGGAGGAGGAGTCACATTAGGTGCTGGTTCCTCCTTACAACTACTGGCAAGTAATGAGATTGGTGGGGGCTTATCTGGAGCACATGACTGATGGCCAGCTGTGGAGTGGTTCCAGGAAGTAGTTCCCATGCCACCTGACTGTCCGGGACCCCTACCTGCCTGTTCTTTAGAGTGGCCACTGCTCTGAAGATTCTGACAAAAATCTGATTGAGGGGGGAACGCTCTACTGCCAGGTGTGACTGGGGGTTGTTCCTTTGCTTTCTGGTCACCCAGAGGCAGTGATGGTACCTGAGAGGGTTCCTCAGGCTCTATCTTCAATCCTTTCATCTGGGTGGGCGCACTAACAGCCAGAGGACATAGCCCAAGACCAATTTGCTCTGGAGGTGGCACTGGAGGAGGAATCTCCTGTGGGGGTCTTACTACATGATGTGTAAAAGAGAGAAGGGATTTGAAATGGAGTTGGTCCCGACGGTAGACCACTCGGGCTCGAGTCTCTTCTATTTCTTCAGATGACCAGCTAATGCCACAGCGGAGGCGTTGGGCCATGAACCAAGTCTTGACCTTCTCCATCTGCAGCCCATAACGCAGGCAGAGAAGAGCAATATCTGCTAGGCTGGGATAGGGGAAGTAGCTGAAGGTTTGTAGCAGGTGTTCATTTCCATCCAGCTCACTGGTCTGGGCTGCTTGGGTCCACACAAGCTGTAGCTCCTCAGAGATTGGAGGAAGACAGATGAGCCCGGCCGCTGAGCTATTAAGACTGCTGGCATCTTTATTAGGAGGCATGATGTGTTCTGATTTGTGCCCTTCAGAGACAGCTGTAATGACAAGAGAAACAGCTCCATCACTGAGGTGCCCCTTTTGGTCCATCACTTCATTTCTACCAAACTGCTAGACACCAAATAATTTTCTATTTGTATCATGTGGTATTGCTTTGAAAGTGTTTCAATAATTTCTAGTTTTCATTATCTTGTCAACAAAATTTGCTGTAGTTCTTGTGTTCTTTGTATAAAAATCTAAAGTCCATAGAAGTTGGCATAAAAACCATCCCAAGTCACAGGACAAAAAATTTGTCTTTAGAGGTTAAGGAAGAAAGTTATCCTCCTAAACCTTTATCTTTCCTATTCAAATCTGCGTCTGGAAGCTGTCATTCAGTTCTCCCCATTTAGGTTCATGGAACAGTAGTCATGAAATGAAAAGCACGCACAAGATCAAGACTTGACAGTAACTATTACTTTTTACCTCCTAACAATTTTTGATTTCTTCTGGAATATGGAAACAGGAAAGCAACTGATGAAGTCAGGCACTGTAGTGGCCACCTAGAAGCCTAGCAATTGGGAGGTGGAGTCGGTGGGATCAGGAATTCAAGGCTAACTTTAGCAACATTAAAACCCTGTTTCCAAAAACCTATGACAGTCTAGAAGACAGAACAGCACCAGCCTCTGCCAAGTGCCTATGCCCTCTTTTTTTCATTTCTTTCCTGGTGATGGAGTGTTGTAAAGAATGTACAGACAGTACTTTAGAGCCCTAAACTCAAACCAGGTAAGGGTTTTTTCCATCTCAATAGAAAGCCTTGGAGGCAAGAGATCTTGAGCTAAATGAAACTCACTCTCCCTGGGTTTCAGTCTGGAGGAGAGGAATGTTTCCTTTCCCTAGTCAGCTTTAGAACAAAGGTTATCCCCTCCCCCCAGCCTTTGTCTTCAGCAACAGCACAGCCTCTCCTGGGAGCCTAGAGAACTCCCAGTACATCAACAGCCCATTCTACAATGGGCAAAAGGGCTTTTATCTTTTCAGTCCAGCTCTCCTCAAAGCCAGGTGGGCAAGTTCATTATGCACAGTAGCTACCTAGTGCAATGACCCAGCAGCAGCCCTGCTCCCAGGGTGGTATGTGTAGGAGCTGTAGGGATAGTCCTGACTGCTTCACTCCTAAACACCTCAAGTTATTCCCCAGAATATTCTGTTAACAGTTTTAGTTCAGCTCTCTATTTAGGCATTAGAGATCCTTTAACATGTCGATGGTTTACTTCTAGAGGAATTCCATCATGTTTATATTGCTCCTGATTTGTATTCTAATGTTAAATGTATTGATGAATCTCAAATCTGTAAAGTTAGAACAATGTAGTATCAGGGATTGCTGTTTTCACTTTTTTGCAGTGCTGGACATGGAACCCATTTCCATGCTAGGTAAGTGCTCTATCTACAACAAGCATTTTAGTGCATGTTACCCTAATTTTTGGCCTGGAATTTGCTATGTCGACAAGGCTGGCCTGGATCTCAGAGATCCTCCATCCTCTGCTTCCCCACTGCTGGGATTAAAGGCATGCACCACAATGCCCAGCTTCTCTGAACAGTCAAATCTAACAGACTGAAGTCCGTACAGACCCTAAAAGCTATACACTTGCAGGGTACTACATAGGGTAATGGAAGCAGCATGTGAGTTCCAAAGGCCACCAGGAGTTTAAATCCCAGTCTTGCTGCTTAACCAGCTTGCTCTGTGAACCTGGGTAAAAGTTACTGAAATTATATGATCCTGTTTCCCTCATGTGTAAAAAAGACAGTGCTGAGTGTATAGAAAGTTACGAATCTTCAGCCAGCATCTATCACGTGCTAAGTGTTGTGTGAGTCAGAGACAGAGCAGCCACTGGAGATGGAGGTTTGCAGTGTGGCAGGCTTGAGATTTATTTGCAGCTTCCCCACTTTCTAGAAAGCTGTTTGTCCTTAGCCAAGTTACTTAACCTCTCTTAGTTTCTCATCCAAAAAAAAGTTACCTACCTGGCAAGTCTATGACTAAATGAAAAAATGCTGTTGACATGTCTAGAACAACATATAATGGCTTTTGTCCTGACTTCAGCTTCAGGATTCTGTGGTAATACACCTTAGCTGGGGAAGTAGGGCAATGCCCAGATCTTTAAGAAATGCAATTGTTCAAAGCTGCTTTTGTAGACTACTAACAGCAGGGAAGGAAAGCAGGGCATTTACGATTTATTTATTTATTTAATATTATTTTTAATGTGCTCAGAGCAGAGCCCAGTGTCTTCTGGCACTAAGCTGTATTTTCAGCCCCTATTTTTTTTTAACTATATGAGTGTCTTGATTGCATGTATGTAAGTGCACAATGTGTGCAGTGCCTGTGGAGGCAGAAGAGGGTGCTGGATCCCCTGGAACTAGAGTTATGGACAGTCATGAACGACCACTTGGGTTCTGGGAACTAAATCCAGATCTTCTGCAAGAGCCGCAAGTGCTCTTAACTGCTGAACCATTTCTCTATCAACCCCCAACCTCCTATGATTTTATACTCTCTACATTTTGAGTTTGGATACAATTTCAGAATGGAATTTGCTGATTCTAAAAAAGACCAGGACCAGAGAGATGGCTCAGTGGGTAAAGGTACTTGCTGCCAAACCTGACAACCTGAGTTTGATCCCTGGAACCCACATGGTAGAAGGAGAGAACCTACTCAATCAAGTACTCTGACCACACAGCATGCTCACACACAAAAATAAATTTAACAGGGCAAGAGAAAGGGCTTAGTGGTTAAGAGCACTGGCTGTTCTTGCAGAGGACCCAGGTTCGAGCCAGGACCCATATGGTGGCTAACAACCATCTGTAACTCCAGTTCCAGGGGATCCAGTGCCCTCTCTGGCCTCCATGGATATTGCATGCATATGGTACACTAACATACATGCACGTAAAAATATTCATGCACATAAAACAAAAATAAGCCAAGCATGGTTGTACACGCCTTTAATCTGGCACTTGGAGGCAGAGGCAGGGGGATCTCTGTGAGATTGAGGCCAGCCTGGTCTATATAGCAAGTTCCAAGCCAGCTGGGGCTATAGAGAGACCTTGTCTTTTTTGTTTTGTTTGTTTTTTTTGAGACAGGGTCTCCCTGTAGCCCCAGCTGGCCTGGAACTCTATGTAGATCAGGCTGGCCTTGAACTCACAAAGATCCATCTGCCTCTACCTACCGAGTGCTGGGATTAAAGGCATGTGCCACCATGCCCAGCTGGGAGACCCTGTCTTAAAAACAAAAACAAAAAAGCCCCAAAATAAAAATAATTTTAAAAAATCTTAACAGTAAATGTAATAAAAAATTAAAATATGGGGCTGGAGAGATGATTCAGTGGTTAAGAGCACTGACTGCTCTTGCAGAGGACCCGGGTTCGATTCCCAGCACCCATATGGCAGCTAACAACCGTCTGTAACTCTAGTTCCAGGGGATCCAACAGCTTCTTCTGACTTCCTAGGGCACTGCACAACACGGGTGTGTTTACATACATGCAGACAATATACTCATACACATAAAATAAAATTTAAAATGTGTATGTATGAGTTGGGAGTAGGAGTGCACATGTATAATCCAAACACTTGGGAGGCTGAGGGAGGATCTTAAGTTTAAGCCAGTATGGGTTCCAAAGAAGTTGCAGAACAGCCTAGGTTACATGATGAGACACCATCTCAAAAAAACGGGGGGGGGGGGGGTTGCGCTAGAGAGATGGCTCAATGGTTAAGAGCACACTGGCTGCTGTTCCAGAAGACCCAGGTTCAAATCCAGCACCCACATAGAGGCTAACATCTATCTGTAACTCCAGTTCCAGGGGATCCAATGCCCTCTTCTGTTCTATGCCAGCACTGCACAACAAACATGGGTACACTTATTTACATGCAGGCATAACACTCATATAGTAAAAATAATTTAAAAAAAAAAAGATGATGCAAGAATAGTGGTATACATCTGTAATCCTAGCACTTGGGAAGTGGAAGCAGGAAAATCGGGTTCAAGGCTAGTCTCAGCTATACAGTGACAGTTCAAGGCTAGACTGGGCCACATGAGACCTGTTTCTGAAAAATCAGTCTTGACAGGCATGATGGCATAGGCCTTTAATCCCAGCACTCAGAAGTCTGAGGCCAGCCTAGTCAACATAGTGAGTTACAGGCTAACCAGGGCTACATAGTGAGACCCTGTCTTGAAAATGCAAAAAGTCTGAAAATCAGTTTTGGGAAAGAGCTTTGTAATTTGGATTCTTTGGATTGCCATGTGAATTGTCCATGTGACAGCTCCTGCTTTCCCCTCCCAGGTTCACTCTAGGTACAATTTCATGGCCAGGGGCTACATCCCTATGGTATCATCTCTGTCCCCTCTGCTGCTGCCCCACCCCCAGACTGAATCCAAGTGGGAGAATACTTTATGATGGTAACTTGTGATACTACTTAATCTCTTTTGTGTCCTTTACCATAATGACACACAACTCACTTAAATATGAGGACAGTATAGCTAATAGTCTAGTCCACTGTGAGAACTGACAGATGGGATGAGGTATACACGGCTGCAAGCCTACAGAGCAGTAGTTTTTTATTCATGGGGCTTGATAATCCTTCAGCTCTGCACAGCATAAGCTGTGTTCAGTATAATGCACACTAATGCAAATAATGGATCTCAGTCTACAATATACATCTGGTTTTCACTTACACAAAAGTTGTAGGATTCCTGAAGCACAGTGTTATCTTAAATCAACACACAGCTGTATTGCTGGTAATTCCCTGGAAGAATCCCTGGCTTTGAACTGGGGAAATGACAACTGGAACGCCTTATAAGAATTTAACAAGTAGGGTAGACCCTAGAATAATAAAAACCACAACTTAAACACCATGTCCTTGTGTCTCCATTTTGGACTAGGTAGAGAAAAGAATCAAAATTGGAAGATTTCTAGGGTGATGGTACCTTTCTAGGTGATGGCACCCTTATTAAATATGCCAAATATTCTATTCTGCTTAGTCATTAAGTGTGTGTGTGTGTGTGTGTGTGTGTGTGTGTGTATTCTTCCAGTTTAGGTGTTCATACACTGGTGGGAAAATAGGACTTTGGAATATTCTGATTGAAACTAGCCTTGAAGCTAAAATAGAACAGTTAAAGTGGAAAACTAGATATGATCCTGCTCAATTCCCTGTCTTTATTCAGATAAGATCTGAAGTACTACTTGAAATGTGGATAATTCAGTTCTAAGGGCCTTAAGCACTTTTTCTGATATTTAACTTACATGTGTCTGAACTTTTTAGATCATGAACCTTCTTGAGAATCAGAGTTACAGACCCTCAGAAAATTATGACTTCTAAAAATTAAAAATTATGACTAATAACATTCACACTTACACTCAAGAGGTTCACTGATTACCAAGAAGCCAGTTTAGGAACCTCTGCCTATGTCTTCCCAACTTAATAGGCAGTGGTAGCAACTGCTTAAAGATGAACAGGCAGCTTTGTGTAGATGGAAAAAGAACACTAATGAATTAGGCTGTCTAGAAGGGACATGGTGTTTGTGGTGTCAGTTGGAGTGGGAAAGGTCCTAACCAACCCAAGACTAGTACCCACAGTGCCCTGCATACTCAAGGGCAGAAGGCTACTCTGTAGTGCAACTGATCATTGGCTTCATTAAGTTGTCTGTGTGCTTGGAACAATTTTGTATGGTTCCAAAACTGTTTGTGCCCTCATATAATTACTCAATTCTGGGTCATATCTGGGTATCTGTATGTATTTAATGTTACTGTATTTAATGTTATTAAATACATATTTAACACTAAATACGTTTAAACATATTTAGTATATATTTAACATTAAATATGTATTTAATGTTATTAAACATTATATAAACTCATGAAAAAAAATGTTCTTATGTACATTAAAACTGTTCCTATGAAAACTAAGTCACCTCAGGAGGCTGAGATAAGAGCATCACAAATCCAAGGCCAGCCTGAGCCACACAACCTGTCTAAAAAACACAAAAAATTCGATGTTTTGGAAAGACATAATTCAGGAGTATGCATTTAAAAACTGCCCACTGAGAAGGCAATTATAAAAGATTGATAAGTATGCTTGCTTAGTTTAAGTGTTCAATCTCACTTAACTTTGAAGAAACCCAAACTGGAAATCACACATGATGAAAGTCAGGGGCCCTTATTTAGAATGACACACTGGAATTACCTGGGAAGCTCAAAGGCTGCCCTCCTCCCCGTTGTGATTTAATTAGTCTGGACTGGGGCCCAGGCATTCATAGTTTTTAAAAGTTCTCAGGGTGCAACTGGGTTTGGGACTCCCTTGTGTAGTTAATACTAGAAAAGCCGATTTACACACGTCTCAACAGTACACTAAAGACTGGTGAAATAAATGCACTTTTAATTGTAATGTTTAGGATATGCATGCATTACTTTTTAAATTGTCGATGTTTACTTTCTCAATTACTACTACCTATCCTAAACATATAAATGGACCAAACATTCGATGACGAGGTTCATCGGATAAAACATCCGATCTCGACCCACACTGATTATCAAACAGGTCTCAGCTTGAGTCTTTCAGTTTAGAAGTCTCGGTTTAGGACGCAACACCAGGAATCTGTAAGGACTCCCTGTTTCCTGGTTGGTTTTCTCACTAAGGCTGGGCACGAGAGTCAAGAGGGGCAGTTTCTTCAAAACCTTTCATTCCCAAAGGGCACTGCTCCCCAAACGTAAGGTCCGGTTCTGTGCGCGCGTCGAGGTCGCCGGGAGGTAGTCATGGGGATGGGGGAAGCCTGGGAAGGAAACGTTTCTTCCTAGCCTCCGTTTCCCAGGGCAGTCTAAGAGGCTCCGAACTGGGTCAGAGAACAAAAAGTTGCTGCACTTGGGGCGGTGAGCCCCAGGAGGCAGCGGACCTCGATCCTCCCCTACAAGGGCGTCCCAACCAGCCTTTCCTTTCCCCCCTCTCTAAAACACCCCTTACCTCCCCTCTCCCCCCCATTACAACACAATCGAAAAGTCCAGGGAGAAAGGAGGGAGAACCGACGACTTCCAGTCGAGGATCTCCTCCTCCCGGCAGGGATGGGGGGGGGGTCGCAGGTCTCACGCCGGCCGGGAGGGGAGTCGAGGGGGTCACTCACCGCGGTCCGGCCCGGGCGGCGGCTCCCAGCCTCGCACCATGGGCCGGGGCGGAAAGGGGCAACTGGGCAGGGGCCGCCAAGTGGGAGAGGGCTGCCGGCGGCCTGCTCCTTGCACCGCGCTGCCCCCGCCCCCGAGTGCGCGCAGCGGCCCAGCCCTCCCTGCAACCCCGGCGAGGCGGGGCGAGGGGGCGGTGCCGACGTCCTGATTGGCGGGTGGGCACCGGCGCGGCGTAGCGGGCCGCCCATTGGCTGCATGGGTCTGGGCTGAAGTCCGCAATTGGCTGCGCGGGCCTCGGCGGGGTCAGCTAATGAGCGCGTGGGGAGGGAAGATGTCCTCCGGGACCAGGGTGATTTGAATGGACCTCCCCGCACCCGCCGGGCCCCGCCTGCGTCGGCATCGCACCTAGTGTTCCTCCGCAGACCCTTCATCCGCTGGTCCAGCGAGTCCCCGTTGGTTCGCTGCGAAGGAAGGAGCTCCTCTCCAGTCTTACCTCGCGTCTCCCCCCTAGAGCCCCCCCTTCCTCCCGCAGTGGCGCAGCTGTAGCCAAACGCTTAAAGTCACTGTTCCACATGGATCAGATGGTGGAACTTAGGAGCTGGGAGATGTCGGCCACTTCTTAAGGCAGTGTGGCACTAAGACAGGTAGTCCCCAAAATGGAGCACCTTGGTTTTTGCTGTTAAGGTGTGAGAAGAGGATGAACTTGGCATCAAACCATTTTCCCACACAGTACGAAGTTCTGAGCCAGATTTTGAGTATTTAGGATTCCCCAACTTGTGACTAAAACTGGGAACAATATTTTCTGAAGTGACTTTTCTGGTATTTGAAAAGGTTCGATCTTGGCTATTTAGGTCATTTAATAGGCAATATCAGATTTTGCTTGTAGTCTCAGATCTTACTATTTATCCCTCCTTACCTACTATTACAAGAATTTTTCCCGAAAGAACAAGTATCTATTCATCCCAAATAAGGTGCCAAAGACAGGCCAAGGGACGACTCCATCCGAGTCTTGCTTGGTGAACCAATGAGTTTAATTGGGGATGCTTATAGAAGCATGGGAAACTTATCAGGGATTCCTCACCCTAACAACCTGTAACTATATATCCTCGAGGAAAGGCAGGCCCTGGTGACCCGCCCCCAACATCCTTCTGTTTCTTATAGGAGGTAGGAGGGTAGGGACCCCTGAGCCATGCCCTCACCTCCATGACAAAATGTTAATTGGGCCCAGTCTTGTATGTGTCTCCTGAAGCTGTTCCAAGCCCAAGGATAGCATCCCACAATATCCTAAGAAACTAACCACAAAATTCCATTCATCCTTCACTGCTCCACTTCAAAGCCTAGAGCCCTTTACAGGTTGACATCTTAAACATCTTAGCATCAACACTTGATCTTTATACTCTGTTGCTAGTCCCTTATTTGCCCCAGACTCTCCTTCCTCATTACATTTAGTAACTCGGTCTCAACTGTTAAGAGTCATTCCATATCCTTCAAATACTTGGCAAAAACATCATGAGATAAACATGAGAATTCTTACTATGTAGCACTGGCTAGGCAGGAACTGGCTATGTAGACCAGGCTGGCAATGAACTCACAGAGCTCCACCTACCTCTGTCTCCCAAGTACTGGGATTAAAGGTGTGTGCCATCATGCCCAGTTTTTGTTTTTTAAAAATATGTTTGAGTGCTCTGTCTGCATGTATGTAAGTGCACCCATGCATGCAATGCCTGTGGAGGTCAAAAGAGGACATCGAATCCCCTGGAACTGGAGTTACAGATGTTGTTAGCCACCATGTGGGGACTGAGAACCAAACCCAGGACTTCTGCAAGAACAGTTAGTGCTGTAACTGCTGAGCCATCTCTCTAGCCCACCTTGGCTCATTTTTAAAGTTAGAAACCTTTGATCTGTCAGACTTTAAGGCAGGGCTGTTTATATTTACATTGGTTGCTTGCTAAGTAATGATGGAAGGGAGAGTAGAAAATTTTAGGTAGTGGCAGCCCTCAATTACCAGGAGAGAGATCATTCCCTCATAACTCATTTTATTAGACTGGAGTGCCTAGGAAGAATCCATGCTTCTTTGACTGGAAAGTCAGGCAGGAACTGTGTGGGAACTAAACACCTGACCCTGGAGAGTCTGGTGAGTTACTTTGGGTAACAATGATTTGGGCTTTTTCAAACACTCACTTCCAAGAGTTAGGGGTGGAAGGAGAGGAAATAATCCAGGAAAGGAAGAGACTTCTCTAACACAATTCTAGAGTACTGGCTGAAGCCTCCTTCTCTGTGAGTTTTACCCTGCAGGTTTAGATGGAGTGGACCTGGGTAGAGAAATGAACAAGTAGTCCAGACTCTCAATACAAAAGAGGGTCCTTGCCTTTTAGCAGGACAGCAATCCACCGAGCTCTTCCAGTACTGAAGACTGGGGATTCATGCTATCCTTAATAGATCTTAATGCTCCATAATTGGTGAAAGGTTTTTCTCAATCTGACAGGATGGCTCAGTGGGTAAAGGTACCTGCTACCAAGACTAAGGACCTGAGTTTTTTCCTCTGACTTTGATCTTTGGGCCCCACATGGTGGGAAGAAGAGAACTGATACCCACAAGTTGTCCTCTGACTGCTATATGCACATCATGCATGCATGTAGTAACCTGTTCATTCACCAACATACATACAGGCACACAAAAAGTCCAATTTAAAAAAAATTTTTTTTTCTCCCTTTGTATGGCTCAGATACTAGCAGGGCTGAGCTGATGAACCATTAAACATATATCCAAGAGGGGCTGGAGAGATGGCTCAGCAGTTAAGAGCACTGACTGCTCTTGCAGAGGACCCGGGTTTGATTCCCAGCACCCACATAGCAGCTACGAACCATCCTTAACTCCAGTTTCAGGGGAATCCAAAGCCTTCTTCTGACCTCCGCGGCATTGCACAACATGGGTGCACTCATACACATGCAGGCAATACACTCATACACATAAAAAATAAAATAGGGCTGGAGAGATGACTCAGTGGTTAAGAACACTAGTTGTTCTTGCAGAAGACCCAGGTTCGAATCCCAGGACCCACATGGCAGCTAACAACTGTAATTCCAGTTCCAGGGGATTCAACCACCTCTTCTGACCTCCGTGGGCATTGCACGGCTGCCCTCACCTACATGCAGACAATACATGCATACACATAAAATAAAAATAATAAATAAAATATTAAAAATAAAATTAAAAACACACACACACACAAAAAACATATATCCAAGGAATCTGAAGTCTCTGATTCCTTCCCTTAAATAGACTTCTTCCAGTGTACTGGGGAGATGTAGCAACATGTTAATGTGGCTGTAGGTTTTTGTAAATTTTGGGGAAAAAAAAAGAAATGCTAATTGGTTAATGTGTCTTTCTTTAATTTTTTAAAAATTATATTTTTGTGCCAGGCATGGTAGCACACACCTTTAATCCCAGCACTCAGGAGGCAGAGGCAGGTGGATCTCTGTGAGTTAGAGGCCAGCCTGGTCTCCATAGTGAATCCAGGCCAGCTGTGGCTACAGGGAGACCCTGTCTCAAAAGGACCAAAAAAAAAAAAAAAAATTTTTTTTTGTATGTTTTGCCTCTGTGCACATAGGTGAACCATGTGTATGCAATGCCTACCAGAGGCCAGAAGAGGCTGTCAGATCCCCTAGAACTGTAGTTACAGACAGTTGTTAGCTGCCATGTGAGTGCTGGGAACCGAACCTGGGTTCTCTGCAAGAGCAGCCAGTGCTTTTAACCACTGACCCATCTCTCCAGCCCCGTGTCTTTTATTTCTTCATTCCCCTCCATCACATTTTCCATTTTGTCAGCTGGCAATGGTGACCCACAGACATTTGGGGATTGGCTAAGTAAGCTGAGTTGGGAACACACTTAGTTTGGGTTTAGGTAGGTGTAGCTACATGGTTTACAGTTACTTCTATTAATTATTGTCCATTGCAGTTATATGCTCACTCCTATTCAGGTTAACACACTTAGCCAACCCTCAGTGCCTCAGAATTTGGAGATTTTTTAAAAAAATTTATTTTGCATGTATGAGTGTTTTGCCTCCATGTATGTAAGTGTACCTGTGTCATGCAATGCCTGTGGAGGCTAGAAAAAGGTGTCCCACCCCCTGGAACTGGAGTTACAGGGAGTTGAGAACTGCCCAATGTGAGTGCTGGGAACTGAACTCAGGTCCTCTGCAAGAGCAGCCAGTGCCCTTAATTGCTGAGCAACCAACTGCTGAGCCATCTCTTCTTTTTCTTTTTTTAAGACTGGGTCTTGGGCATTGGAGAGATGGCTCAGTGGTTAAGAGCACTGACTGCTCTTGCAGAAGACTTGTGGGTTCGAATCCCAGCACCCACATGGCGGCTACGAACTCTGTCCTTAACTCCAGTTCCAGGGGAATCTGAAGCCCTCTTCTGACCTCTGCAGCATTGCACGACACGGATGCACTCACACACATGCAGGCAATACACTCACACGCATAAAATAAAAAAAAATAATTTTTTTAATTAAAAAAAGTGTGATAGAGTTTTTTTCAAGTTAGCAAAAACATGTGCTTGCTTGCTTGCTTGCTTTCTGAGATAGGGTCTAACACTGTAGCCACGCCCGATCTAGAACTTACTGTGTAGCCCAAACTGGCAAACTCCTGTTCAAACTCCTCGCACTCCTCCTTCCTCAGCCTAAATGCTAAGATTGCAGGTGTGAGCCACCATGCCTGGCCTCAAAATGTAAATTAATCATAAGGTGTAAAGATAAAAGAAGACTGAAGCCAGGGGTGGTGGTGCACGCTCTTAGTTCCAGCACTCGGAGGCAGCAGGTAGCTCTCTGAGTTTGAGGCTGTCCTGGTCTACATAGGGAGTTCCAGGCCAGCTGGGACCACAGAGAGACCCTGCCTCAAAAACAAACAAGAAGACTGAATACCTTTCTTAGTCTTTGTAATAAACAGTATATAATCACTGTATGAAAAGGGTGTCAGGAGCCAGATTGCTGGGAAAAGCTCAGTGGGTAAAGATGCCTGCTTTTCAAGCCTGATGACCTGAGTTCCAACCCTGGAACCCACATGGTGGAAAGAGAGAGCCACCTCCCCCAAGTTGTCCTCTGATTTCCATACATGGTACACATACAC